TCTACTTCTAGTCTTTTGTAATCACCTGAGCAAATGAAAGTGTACAAAATTTGCGAGCAGTTTTGCAAGCCTAGCTACAAAACATTTGTTAATTCAGTGCATCTTATAAAAGATAGGTGGAAACTCAACTTGCATGTCATCCTGAATGAGTGACTAATTACTATGATGCAGTCAAACATAGTCTGTTGTCCACATTTCGAACGATATACTGTCTGTTGTATATTCTTTCCATCAAATGTACATCTCGTACAACCGAAGTTTCTTTCACTTATTAAAACGACGGAAGAGAAAAGGAAAACCCTTAAGGCAACTCTTTGCAATCCTCTTTCTAATTTCGTTGGCATTTTGAAGGCCCGCATTTGCGTCTTCTTTTGGTAGAGTGGCCTTTTCTTCACACCGGTAGCTCTTAGACCTTCTTCATATCGGCAGTTTTACTTTGGTCCTAAGAAATGACTTAGTCAGCTACATCGGTGGCAGGAACAAGCAAAACTTTATCGTGAGGGACAACTACTTCGGTTTTGGCCGCTTAGTGTTAGGTCTTGCAGAGTTTGTTTCGCAGAGGTAAATGAATGACACTATGACAGCATTTAACAGAACACTCAACAATTGGGTTCACCGTAAGCACCTAAAGATCCGTTGGCAAGTGAACATCAGTAGGTGCAAACTGGCTAAAAACATTTTCCACCAAGTTGTTTACGGTACGTGATAGAAACGTGAAGAGGAAATGCATGTGAGTAAATAAACACGCATTTTTTCTCCGATTTTTTAATGCCTAAATGGAACTTAAGTACGTGGATTTTTGCTAGAACACAGCAATTAAAGGCATAGGCACGACTCTATTCTTGTAAAAGTAGTTTACTGAATAATTCTCGTTGCAGGATGGTGTTCTTATTAATCGCGGTGTACGTGTGTGATAATTCAACATTTTATTTACTTCCAATTTCAGTTTTACATATGACAAACCTAACAAAATTGTGTACATTTTTAGAGACAGTCAGCCATTTTGAAGTGAGGTATCACATTTGTCTGCTAATTCGATAAACGTTAAAAAGTTCTCTTGTATGCCTACATATGCCAACGATTGGATTGAAATGGACTTTGCGATTGATAATCACAGTAATTGCCGAGGATGATTATTTAGAGCTATAAAGCCAACACTTTATGACACAACAGCAAGGTAGCCCTCGAGTCACATCACTGGCTGGTCATCACATGCGCCTTTGCTAAAAGCTCAGATACTTTAAGACGCCCGAGTTAGGACTCTCTGGTTGACATTGTTCTCTTTTGTACAGCAAGTGTACGATGACTGAAAGCTAGATTGTCGCTCGACACTTAGCAAACAATTGGTTATAAATACGCATTTTCTGTTCAATTATACAATTTCATTTAAATTTATCGACACCAAATCCCTTACTTTGAAAAGAAAAATCAATCTAAAGAGTTTGTTCTTTGGATTAAAAACAAATGTATTCAAAATAAGCACTTTGTATCTTGGGATTTGCTAATTTGGTGACATTTGTGTAAATCGCCAAGACGAGGCAGTTGTGGCAATCTTTGCCGAATTCCATAAAACGAGATTTATTTACGAAGATAATTAAAGAATGCGCAAAAGTAGCCGCAGTGACTTAAAATACTTCGTGTAATAATCGCAACATTTCCCTTACCTAATCTTCACAATACACAAGAGTACGATGTGATTTAATGGAACTCTGTAAATATTAAAGTAGGTAACAGCAACCAGATGGTTTTGTCTTGTCAAATATGTCTTGAGCAAATCAAACTGGCAATAAGCACTGCAGCAATCATGTGATAGGGGGGCAACAAACCACTAAAAAGTAGAGAAGGAAGTAGATTCACTTTGTTGTGCTAAGGCAGCAATTAGTCGAATAGCACGTCGAGGTCTAAAGGCTGCCAATTTTATAGCTCAAAATCAACAGTTCCACCTTTCCGGCATTAGGCGTTATTTTTTCCAAGCAGTCAGTAAGCATCAAGAAAATTATGTTTTTAGGCAAATTAGCATAAATCGTAAAGAATGATAATTTGTGCAGATCCAACGACCTTTGCATATAAATTGATTTTCCAAATGTTTACCTCCTGAATTGTGGCTGCTTAAATATTCTTTAATTTGGCCTACGCAGGGGGGATCCATCGTTTGCGAAAGGGATTTCAAACAGAAAATCTGTTCGACTCTTAAGTTTATTGTGGTCTTCGGAGTCTAGAAAACGCAATTCCAAGTGTACTAGCACAAGTGCATTTCAAAATGATTATTTAAATAAAGGTAAGTCGTGTATAGTATTTCACATAAACCAATGAGTGATTTTGTCTTTTTACACAAAAGTGCGATGCCGCGAATAATGAGTCAATAAAATATGTGCTAAACACCAAAAGTTTTGTAAAAAAAATTTAGTATCACTCGCAGTCTCTCTGAGGTTTGGCCCACGAGGAGAAGAAAAATTGCCTAAAATTCTATGACCTTTATCTTGATTACTCTTATCTTGATATTGATCCTTGCATCTGGAATGTAGTCTCTTGAGATGTTCATTTGTCCCGTGTTCGCTATGCAGCACTGGCGGCAAGGACTTTTACACTGCTACTTTCGGTGTACCTATGCAATGTTCAACTCTAACAAAAGTAGTATAATTTTTGCTTTGGAACAAAAGTGAAGAATTTTGACCCAGCAAAGACTTCGGACTCAGCTTAACTATTAGGACGAAACAAAGTTCTTCCGCGACTGCTGAGTGTCTCGATGAAGTTCTCACCAGTTTTGCCTCTAAGAGTCCTACCATGAGCTCATAAAATCAGTGCCTTTATTTGTGATTATTTGCTAAGATTTTATGCGTTTTCAAGGAAATGGAAATAGTCACTAATGCGTTAAATAAAACACTAGATTCTGTGAGTTCCTGATTTATCAGTCAGTTGCTGTGGTTTGCGGATGAACAGCGATAATTGTACTCACAAAGAATCCGTACTTTTAACTATCCTTTGAAGTTGTCACTGAATTAACCGAACTGTGCTTCATTTGGCTCACTTATCTTTGACTTGATCAAAATAGGTGTGATTCAAAAGGCGTCGTTTTGGATTAAAAGTGCGAACCTACACATACCATAAGGGCCAAAATGTCAAGTTAGAATTTGACATCATCAATTTATTTGCGTTGCATGAAACATATGTAAACAGCGCCTCCAATATGGGTCTTCAAAGGAATTGATGAAATTAATTCCTGTTGTAGATATTCTTTCGTACCAAGGACTAAACAGTTAGGGGCTCAAAGTGGTAACGCAGTCCAGAAAATGGTCATGAAGTACATTTTAAGCCTTAATACACGACTGTTGCCCTAAATCAGTCACCATAGGGACCCATCAGCAGATTAAAAAGTTGTAAGAATATAAGAACACCTGTAGAGTCTTATCTTCATGTCAGTGCCTGTCAAATTGGAATGCTTATTTACAAATGATTGTTATCCATAAAATGCGATAGCCTGGACACACGAGAGCTGGAGACGGTCGCACGTTCGCACTCACTCTCACAGGTGCATGCGTTGATAGCAAAAGCTTGATGAACGAATTTTACAAGAGGAAGAGCGAGCAAATAAAAACAAAGTGCATATCAATAGAAATCAAAACTACTACTGGGCGAATTCACATGCAGGAGGTGTGATAAACGGAGAGGAGGTGGATAAAGAGGGAAAGGGAGAGAAATTAAAAGCCCTCGATGATGAGAGAGAAGGAGATCATTCTATGTACAAGCCAAAAGTGGATAGTGGAGATGAGACTAGGCGTAAAATTCGCGACTAGGAGCGCGCATATAAGCATTAGAGGTGGCGGGACCTTTTTGCGGCTCCTCAAGAGAGTACGAGCCCTCGTCTTTCTTGCGCAGGCGGTAGATGCAGAAGAGTATGAGCAGGATCAGCAATAACAATCCGGCAACAGTGCTTCCAACGATAGCTAGTGAGTAAATTAATAGCATTACAAAGGAATGTAGACTGCCGTAGACAGTATTGATGAGTAGATGCAAATAGCTTGATCAGATGTTCATTAACCAACGATTCATTCACACAATCGCAAAGTTTTTGAGTCTTCATCAAATGGGAGAAGATTTTTGAGATAATGCTAGCCTGGAGGCAAATCAGAAGAGTAAAAGCGACCTTATTTGTTTACGGTCATAACATAAAGGGATGTTGTTCAAAGGAGAGTAGGACGCGTTCATAATTATTTTAGTCTGATGAACGACACGATCAGTTCAAGCAACGTGTGTA